ACCATTTTATATAGGTAAACGCTTGTGTAATGCAAACGGTACTTAGAAAGTACCATTTTATATAGGTAAACGCTTGTGTCACTTCGATGTAGCAGCTATTCAGTAAAACATATAAAATGAACTTCGAGATGGCAGTCGAATGTTACGTAACCACATCAACTTAACATAACATCATTTACAATATTCCAAAGGTTATATAATAATACAAAAATTGAATAAAAGAAAAAAATCATAGATTTAACTCTAGACACGAAGAATTACAAAATTCCACACACAAGTATATCCAGTTGATACCAAATTCAGTTCCAAAATCGAGGGTTCGAAAACAGGTGATTTTTCTTTTTTCTTTTTTCTTTATCCCTGTTCATTCGGTTTGAAGCAACAGTTAACAACGTAACTCGACTCTCGTTTCCATGAAACGTTTCCGTCGAACACGACGGTAGATCATCGACGAAATTACGAAGATTACATTCGATAAGGAAAATCAAGGTGGAAACAATCGGAGAGAAACTCGGAAGGATTTTATTCGACTTTCATTGGAAGTTGGAGGGAAGTTGAAACGTTGCATCGCACGAACAATTTACTTCCTATAGCGGAATATTCGGATCTCGATGCAATCCAACCAGTTGCCGAGTATTTGACCACGCGTTCGCCTAACCGCTCGCTATTATCTCTAGAACGACTCCGTGACAAACTTAGCTCGTTACCGCGATGGTAAAACCGGGCCTTTCCTCTCTGAGACGTTCCTTATTATCCAAGTCTCGAGATTTCGCTTGGTTTTCATTAAGGAATCCTTACGAATCACTTGCGCTAATGCCTTTCGTCCACGTTCGCCCCGGGATCCTTCGCCAATATATCGCGTTAATTACTTCTTGATCGTTTACGACAACAACAAGTCTTCTCGTCTCTTTCGATAGAAAACGTCATTTTTTTATTATATTTCTGTTTACTTGCGTTATATACGTAAAAGTATAACAAGGTTTGCTATATTATACGAAGTTTGCGAAAAGGATAAGAACCGTGCTCGAAATTCTTTTCCCTAACCAATAGTCCCTGTTTTTAATTTGGCCTAGGTTATGCAGAAATCTGTCAATTCTCAAAATGACGAAAAGATAATTATATCGAATCCACAATTTTTTTTTTTTTTTTGTGATCTTTTCGCAAAAATTTACCGAGCCATAGTTCCGTTCTAGATTATATTGTAGTATCTATGTTACTTAAGTCATTAAGAAATATTGTGAAACCGAGACAGGAAATGGAATATATTTCTGTTTTGGTTTTATTTTACAATAAAACTCCCTTCCATTATTTTTTTTTAAAT